AAGATGATCCACACAGGGGAGAGGCCATATAAATGCATGGAGTGTGGAAAGACCTTTGCTCGAAGATATCATCTTAATTCCCATAGGATGAGCCACACAGGGGAGAAACCATATAGATGCACGAATTGTGGAAAGACATTTGCTCGGAAGTATGGTCTTACTTGCCATAACAAAATCCACACAGGTGAGAAACCATATAAATGCATGGAGTGTGGGAAGACCTTTGCTCAAAATGGTAATCTATCTTCTCATAAAAGAATCCACGCTCGGGGAAAAACTATGCAGAAATAGCAATTCCACTTAGACTTATATTGCACTCCTCAATGCTTTACAGCACTCTGAGCAGTTTACAAAATCAGCATATGGTCCCCAGCAATCTGGGTCCTTATTTTATCCTCAGAAGGATAGCACTAGCCTTTCAAAGGTTTTCATAACTACAGATGTTAGAGCAACTGGTCTGTAGTCATTCAGTTCCTTGATGGAAGATTTCTTCAGCACTGGGATCATGGTAGAGCGTTTGAAGTCAGAAGGAACATAGCGCATCTCTAGTGATTTATTGAAGATTCGTGTGAAGATGGGGGCCAATTGGTCAGCAGAGACTTATGCAAGAAGGAGTTATCTTGTCTGGGCCTGGTGCTTTTACTGGCTTTTGTCTGTGAAATAGATTTTGCACTTCTTTTTCTGTGACCAACAGATTGATTTTCTATTGTTTACATTTTGTTAGTGCTTAATTAATCATTGTGTTTTCTGGGTTATTTAATTGCTTAGTGATACAGATTACATTCTTAATCTCCCCCTCTTTTTTCCAACCACTGGTAAAATAAAGTCCATGTTTGATAATATTCTGTGTTTTCTTTCTGTTTGATTTTCAATGTAAGTATCCATTTCTGGACAGTCTAGTATCTTCCTAATTATCTCTTCATCTCACTGTTTCTTCATTTTTCTTCATTTTTCCAATATTGTGCAAGTATCCTTGCTGCTATTAAAGTATGCAATATTAAATATATACTTTGCTTATCAAGTTTTTCTGATGTTATACCTAATAACATCTTTCTGAATGATTTAATGTTTTAGCAGTAGTCTGGTTTTGTCGCAGCTTTGATCTCTTCCCTGTGTAACCCTATGCCAAAACTACATTTCCCTAGTGTCACAATGATTTATTCCTGCTTATTTCTAGTTGTTTTAATTTTTTTTAAAAAAACATAATGTTTCATCGGGCAATTCCATGCAAAGTGACACAGCAAAACTTATGAGAAACATAAGGAAATGTTCTTTTCTCATTCGGTGTGTATATCTTTAAGGAAGTCACTAAAAAATGGGGGGGGGGGGGTTTCTTTACTAAAAAGGGGTTTTTAGAGTAATACATGTTCTCTGTCAGGAAATTGTGCAGCCGGTGTCCCAAATCAAGTCAGAGACACTGACACGAACTTGTAGTTTTATATAAAACGCATATATTCAACATCTCTATTTACAGCAGGGGTCCCCAAACTTGGCAACTTTAAGACTTTTGGACTTCAAGTTACCAAGTTTGGAGAATTCTGAATTAAAGTTACTAAGATAGTCAGGCATATCCCTACATCATGAGGTAAATTGTGAGGTAAATCACGGAACAGCATAGGAAACACACAGAAAAAAAGGCGGGGAAAAAGGGAGACTCCCCCTTGACACCCAGCAACCAATGTAGATTGCCTCATGCAGGAGCCTGTACACTCCAACCAATCAACTACCACTGTATATTTTGGTCCAGTTTACTGTTCCAGCTATTAAAATATCTTAACATTCTCATTCTCCTCTATTATGTGCTTTGTCTTTGGGCAAAGCAGGGGGCTTAATCCAGCCACACATTTCGAGAAAAGGGGTGTCTCCCAAATATCCCCTCCTCCTTTCTGGGAATCCTGAATTTTGATGCTTCTTTTCAGTCCCCCGCCTGAACTGTGCATGAAAAGGGGCAGCAGGGGAACATAGGATCTGAGTCAGTCTCTCCCTTTTTCTCATAAGCCTTTGCATGTGGCTTTTACCTCTGCAGGATGAGATTCTTTGCTTCCTTTTCGACGAGAAGGGCGTTCTACACCCAAGTGTCACATCTGAATCTCCATTCTCTTTAAGATTTTGCTACCTCTTTAGTTTCTGGGCTGCTCAAAAGATTTGTGGGAAGAAAAATCCAGCTCAGTTCCAAATCGGGAGAAGAATGCTGGAAACAACATGGATGCTGGCTACAAGGAAAGGTCTATTTATTTTATTTCCAGAAACTTCAATGATAGCAGCATGTTTCTCGGGTGGCTGACAAAATGGCTGAGTGAGTGGATGGATTTTTATAGAGTTCTGGGGTTTGGTGATTGAGATGCTCCAGGGGGTTGTGCAATGTATTGAGCCTTGTGTTTTTTGCTATTCCAATGGTGGTGAGTTAATCCTTTTATGTCCTAAAGAACCTCGGTGGCGCAGTGATTAGAGTGTTGTACTGCAGGCCACTTCTGCAGACTATTGGCTGCCTGTAATTTGACAGCTCAAATCCCACCAGGCTCAAGTTTGACTCAGCCTTACATCCTTCTGAGGTGTGTAAAATGAGGACCCAAAATGATTGGGAGCAATATGCTGACTCTGTAAACCACTTAGAGAGGGCTGTAAAGCACTATAAAGCGGTATTTAAGTCTAAGTGCTATTGCTAAAGGTCCTGACCTTAAAATTTTGGTGGGGGAATGTAAATTTTTAATTCCATTAGCTCCAGCCTTCTGTGGGAGCTGTGGCTGAAGGCATTTTGTTTCTGAATAGGCTGGCCTGGGTTTCTGTAAATGGATACTGAATGGAATGCTCCAGTTTTCTCAATAGATACAAAAACTCTCATTCATAAAACTTAACTGTTGCAGGCAGGGGTGGGATTCTACCAGTTTGCACCTATTCGCTAGAACCGGTTGTTAACATTCTAAGCAGTTCGGAGAACTGGTTATCCTGTAAGGAAGGCAGGAAGGAAACATTCTGATGTTGCTCACAGAAACTGCCTCTCCATTAACCCTTATTACATTCTGGACAGGACTAAACTTCCTGTCTCAGGAACTTCTCTGGAGTTCTTTTTCCTTCCTTTGCTTGTGTGGAGTGACTGTTCAAAGTTACAATGGCATTGAAAAAAGTGACTTACGATCATTTTTCACACTTACAACTGTTGTCATGAGAGGCCAGGTGAGATGTGTGCCTCAATGTGATATTGAGTTGGCCACACCCAGCCAATAACATGACTACCAAGCCATGTCCACCCAGTCACATGACCACCAAGCTATGCCCACCACCTAAGCCACGGCCACATAACCAGTTGTTAAAAATTTGAATCCCACCCCTGGTTGCAGGGACTGCCTGGAGTATTTTCCTGGTAGTGGAGAGAAATGAATGATTTGATCCTAGGAAAGTTTTCTTTCTGGAGGGGTTGGGATGCTGACTTCCTACAGGTTCTATAGTAAGCAAGTGCACAGTCCTAGAGGCACTTACGCAGGAAAAATCAAAGGTACAAGTACAGATTAGGTGAAACCTGGTTCGAAAACAGTGAGAGGGACCTTAGAGCCTTAGTGGACGATCACTTAAATATGAGCCTGAAGTTTGTGACAACAGCCAAAACAGCTAATACAATCCTCGGTTGTAGGAACAGAGGCATAGAATCAAAATCACATGAAGTATTAGTACTACTTACTAAACCTTAGTAAGACTACACCTGGAATACATTATCCAGTTTTGGTCACCACATTACGAAAAAAGATGTTGCGATTTTAGAAAAAGTGCAGAGAAGAGCAACTAAGATGATGAAAGGCCTGGAGATTAAAACATATGAAGAACGGTTGCAGGAACTGGGCCTGGCTAGTCTAGAGAAAAGGAGGACTAAGGAGGACATGATAGCTATTTTCCAGTATTTGAGGGGCTGCTACAAAGAAAAGGGAGTCAACTTATTTTCCAAAGCACCAGAAGGCAAGAAACAATGGATGAAAATTAATCAAGGAGAGGACCCTGAGAAGACCTCCAAGGCCCCTTCCATCTCTGATACTCTATCATTCTTTCTTGTTTTGGCTCAGGTATTTTCATATTCCTGAGCAACATGGTATGCAAAATAGAAGCACCAAGATGCTCTCGGTCAGCTTAGCCTCCATTGAGCAGTAGGGTCAAACTTCTGGGAGGGGAGGGGAAGGGGAGAGGAAGATAGAAGAATAGGAATAAGAATAGGAATGGGAACAGGAACAGAACAGGATTTTTGATTGGCCAAGTATGATTGGACACACAAGGAATTTGTCTCCAGTGTGGAAGCTCTCAGTGTACATATAAACAGTCATAGATCATAATAAATAACAATTTATAAATCATAAGACACCAATAGGATAAGATTATGAATTTGGAAGTGGACCACTAGATCATAGTAGTATAATGGTATATACTACACTATCAGACTCCAGAATTGGTCACTGAACAAATAAAGACGGACTCGCTTCAGGCAGTAATTATTTTTTATTGATTATTACATTTATACCACACCTTTCTATTTCTATAACCACTCAAGATAAGTTTACAAAAAAAATGTAAAAACAAGAAGATGCAGTAAAATACGCATACAATATTTTTATGGGCTTTCCTTTACATGGACACTTTTATGGGACACATGGTAACAGCTCTGAGTAAAGTTTTTCCCACACTCCATACATTTATGGGGTTTCTCCCCATGGTAGATGTTTCTATGGTAAGAAAGGTGACTGCTCCTGCTGAAGCCCTTTCCACACTCCAGACATTTGTAAGGTTTTTCCCCCGTGTGGATCCTTTTATGGTAGGTGAGGTAACAGCTTTGAGTAAAGCTCTTTCCGCACTCCAGACATTTAAACGGCTTATCTCCTGGATGGATGTTTTTATGGGAAGATAGGTGACTGCTTCTAATGAAGCTCTTTCCGCACTCCAGGCATTTGTAAGGTTTCTCCCCTGTGTGGATCCTTTTGTGGATCGTGAGATCCGTGCTGCCTCTGCAAGTCTTCCCGCATTCCGTACACTTTATACATTTCTCTCCTGTGTGGATCCTTCGATGGGCCTGAAAGGCACTGCGGTCTCTGAAGCACCTTCCGCAGTCCGCACAGCTGTACGGCTTCTCCCCAGTATGGATCCTCATGTGGTTAGGCAGGTGACTGCTCCACCTGAAAGTTTTTCCGCACTCCACGCACATGTATGGCTTCTCCCCGGTGTGGATTCTCATGTGGCAAGTGAGGTGACCCCTTTGAATGAAGCTCTTTCCGCACTCCATGCATTGAAAGGGTTTCTCCCCGGTGTGGATCCTTTTATGTAACGTCAGGTTGCTGTTCATTGTAAAGCCCTTTCCACATTCCATACATTTGAAGGGTTTCTCACCCGTGTGGACCCTTTTGTGAGATGTAAGGTCGGTATTGCGCCGAAAGCTTTTCCCGCACTCTGGGCATTTGTACGGCTTCTCCCCCGTGTGGATCCTTTTATGGGAAGTGAGGGAACTAGAGTGGCTGAAGCTTTTCCCACATTCCACGCATTGATACGGTTTGTTTTCTGTGGAGACGCTCTGATATAACGCCAGAGGGAAGTTCTCATAGTAACTCTCTACACGGTCTCTGCGTTCACAAGCTTTCGCTTTTGTGAGGATCCGACAATCTTTGTTTCTATCAGGTTTATCTTTGAACTGTTCTCCATACCATGAATTATGTCCCTTTTTCTTTCGCTTCTGATGTTCTTGGGTCTGGAGGTCCTGTGTTTCCATATTTAAAGTAGTTGAGAACGTCTCATCCTGATCACTTGGCCAGTTGTCCTCACCTTCTTCTGGTCTCCATATATTTTGAAACATCTCTTCTTGTCCTTCATTCTTAACTGTTTGCAATGGAAACATCCTTGCCTTCTCATTAGTCTTATTCTCTTGCCCATCACCTGCAAGGGGTTTAAAAAAGAAAAGATAAGTACAGGTAGTCCTCAACTTACAACTACAATTGAGCCCAAAATTTCTGTTGCTAAGTGAAACATTTGTTAAATAAATATTGCCCCATTTTACGACCTTTCTTGCCACAGTTGTTAAGTAAGTAACATGATTGCTAAGTGAATCTGGCTTCCCCATTGACTTTGCTTGTCAGAGGGTCGCCAAAGAGGATCACATGACCTTAGGACACTGCAACCATCATAAATATGAATCAGTTGGCAAATGTCCGAATTTTGATCACATGAGTATAGGGATGCTTTAACAGTCGTTAAGTGTGAAAAACCATAAGTCACTTTTTCCAATGCCGTTGTAACTTTGAACGATCACTAAATGAACCATTGTAAGTCGAGGACTACCTGTAATAGCTGTTAGAATAATAAAGAAAAAATGAATTCCCAAGAAAAAATAAACTCCATGCATTGCCATTTTAACTCCAGCATTTCAAATCTCTCATTTATTTCATATGGCATCACAGAATACAGCATTAATGCACAACATGTTGGGGTCAGAACAAGGGCCAGTCTGGGAGTCTGGGGAGGACTCGGACAAGGATCCTGCATCTGATGTAGAGATGAGGCCAGGGCCATCAGGGAGTTAAGTGCTGACTCTGGAGCCTCCAGAATCTGGCAACAGTGAGGCAGAGGAACAAGGAGAGCCTGTTCCCAGTGCGCATGTGCACAAAGCTACCAGAAAGCAAGAGCAGCTAAGACAAAAGGGGTGACTCGGGAGTAAGGCTTGGAGGTGATTACCCCTCCCATAAGATATAAAGGAAGTGCAAAGGGACAGGAACCTTTGCAGGAAGCAATGTCGTTCGCTCTGTTTGGATTAAACCTTGAAGGTCTGTAGACTTTGTAATTCGTTTGGCTTTTACAGTTAATTGGGCACTTCAGTTGTTGGCAACAATTCAAAGGAGATAAAGGTGGGTGCTTATCTCAAGAGACTATTTGGGACTCATTACGGGCTGGGAATGAACATAATTCCCAGCATTGAAATAAAACAAGAGTTGTTTGCTTAATTACGGTCTCAGGAAGCCTTGGTCAGAACACAACATTCATAAAAACAGCATATAAAAGTCCTTTCCACTTTCTAAACTTGAAAACCAAGATGATGCTTAAATTTAATTTTAAAAAGTCACATTTTTCAGTGCCATTGTAACTGGTCACTAAATGAACCGTTTTAAGTTGAGGATCCCCTGTAGCCTGATTGTTAAGTGAATCTGTCTTCCCTGTTCACTTTGCTTGTCACAAGGTCGCAAAACCTGATCACATGATCTGAGGACACTGCAACCGTCATAAATATGAACCAATTACCAAGCATCCAAATTTTGATGACGTGACCATGAGGATGCTGCAACAGCTGTAACAGTGAAAAACAGTCATCAGTCACTTTTTTCAGTGCAATCGTAACTATGAATGGTCACTAAACCAACTGTTGTAAGTTGAGGACCAACTACGGGTATTTCGAAAGAGAAGGAGATCGAAAAACATATGTACAAATCAGGATAAATCAAGGCCCTTACCTAGAAAAGCCACGTTTCTTGAATTTTCCAGCATGACCTCACGATGCAAAGCTTTTTGATGAGGGTCCAGTAAGGCCCACTCTTCTTCGGTGAAAAAGACGACCACATCCTGGAAGGACACGCGATTCTGAAAGAAAGAGAAAGTTCCCAGTGAATGTAATGTCCAGGATGTTCTTACAAGTTCTCTATCTTAAGTCACGTATCTTAAAAAGTATCATGCCCCTGTTGGAATCTGACTCAGAGGAGGAAGCCGAACAGCTGACAGGGAGTGGGAGTGTGGCTCCGTTGGCTGTGGAAGAAACTGAGGAAGGGCAAAGTCCGGCTGGGCAGAGCAGGAAAGAGGTAGAACAAGGGAGAGGGAATTCAGAGGAAGACCCAGGCCACCCCCTCTTCATTCTAGGTCATGCAGGGAGGAACGGAGAAGAGAACAATGTGGGTTGCATGGCTTACAGGGGAGGAAAGGGCCCTGATCCCCTTCATTATCTGCAGCTGGGAACAGTGTATAAAAAAGGCAAGCTGTGTGCAGAAAGCTGTTGGGAGCAAACGTGAGTTATCTTCTAGCATCGTGGCTTATCTATGTTCCTGGCGTCTTCCCAATATTGTGAGTTTTGCCATGCTTTCAAGTTTGAAATTCCTGCTCCTGCCCTGCCAAACTAATTACTTCAGTTTGATTTGTTTGGATTTTAAATTACAGTTTGTGTGTAACTTGTTTTGGACTGAATTTTCTACAGTCAAAGACTGTTCCTGGGAGAGTTTTTCTCCAGCCCAAAGGTAACCTGGACATTGGGGGCAAAGTTGGAGATAAGAAAGGGATTCTTATTGGTTATCTGACTGTGTTGCCTGTGTGCCACGCCCTGAGTCATCACAAAAAGGATGGGTTCTTTACTTGAAGATTCAAATGATGTCAAAGAAAATAGATAGACCTCAGACCAACCACGCATTGTGGATCAAAGGTTTAGATTGTGAATGATTCAATAAGAGTGCCTGTGGTCCATCTCACTTAAGTTAGGTAGCAAAGGAGTCTTCCTTGCCTCAAGTGTAAAGTCTTACACTTAGGCAAGAAAAACCAAAAGTACACATATAGCAGGGGTGAGCAAACTACGGCCCAGGGGCCACATCCGGCCCGTTGGTCTTTTTAATCCGGCCCGCCGAAGATTGGTACAGCATTAAGGTTTGATGTGAATGATTGAATGATTGCATTCATTTGATTTTGACTTGTAATGACAGGCATTTCGACACCAGGTGGTGGCCCATCTGTCAAATTTTAAAAGTCAATGAGGCCCCCCGAGCCAAAACGTTTGCCCACCCCTGACATATAGACTGGGTGAAACCGGGCTTAATATTTATTTATTTATTGAATTGATATTGCCCCCTATTCACCCATGTCGACTTGAGGCGGCTTACAGAATGTAAAACCATATTTAAAATTTAAAAAACAAAACTAACAAAAAGAATCAAATAAATTAATAAAGTACAATAGAACAAAATCTGGAAAAACAAAAATATAAAAATCACCTCCAACTCCCACCCCCACCCCCCATCCCAACGTCAGCAGATCACACAAGCCATTTGATGGGCTCCATCCCGCTCTGGGTTCCGCAGGCCTGCTGGCAGAACCAGGTCTTCAGCACTTTCTGGAAGAATGCACTGAATCTCTGGAGGAATGATGTTCCAGAGAGAGGGAGCCATCACAGAGAAGGCCCTTCTTCCAGGTCCCACCAGGTGAATCTCCCTCAGGGATGGGACCCACAGCATTCCCTGCCTCCTAGCAGTATCTGTGAGGTGGATCTTGGAGTCTTAGTGGACAACCAGCTAAATATGAGCCAGCAGTGTGCAGCGGCAGCAGCCAAAAAAGCTTATGCAATCCTAAGTTGCATTAACAGAGGGATACAATCAAGATCAAGGGAAGTATTAATACCACTCTATAAAGCCTTAGTAAGACCACAGCTAGACTACTGCATTCAGTTTTAGTCACCACATTATAAAAAAGATGTTGAGACTCTAGAAAAAAAGTGCAGAGAAGAGAAACCAAGATGATTAGGGGACTGGAGACTAAAACATACGATGAATGGTTGCAGGAACTGGGCTTGGCTAGTCTATTAAAGAGAAGGACCGGGGAGACAGGATAGCAGTCCTCCAATATTTGAGGGGCTGCCCCAGAGAGGAGGAGGGGGGTCAAGCTATTTTCTAAACAGCCTGTCGGCGAGACAAGGAATAATGGATGGAAACTGAACGAGGAGAGATTTAACCTGGAAATAAGGTGAAACTTTCTGACAGTGATAACAATCAACTAATGGAACAGAAGTTGCCTTCAGAATTTGTGGGAGCTTCATCACTGGAAGCTTTAAGAGGAGACTGGGCTGGCATCTGTCAAAAATGATGTAGGGTCTGCTTGCAGGGGTGGACTAGATCAGGGGTCTCCAACTTGAAGACTTATTGACTTCAACTCCCAGAATTCCGCAGCCAGCTTTGTTTGTGGGCTTCAGCTTTGCTGGCTGAGGAATTCTGGGAATTGAAGTCAATAAGTCTTAAAGTTGCCAAGGTTGGAGACCCCTGGATTAAATGACCTACAAGGTCCCTTCCAACTCTCTTAATCTGTATCTATCTCAGGTCATGGCCTGGTTTGAAGGAGGAGGAGGAGGAGATGGAACTGGGATCTTCCAACAGGGATGGCATGTCTCCCTTGGCATGTTTGGAAAGGCCGGGGCCCCTCAGGCATTGGGGGAGGTGGTCGTCGAGACAGACAGCTCTCTACCTTCACAGACACAGGGGAGGATAGGCTGCTGACAGGCAGTGGTGCCCATAGGCAGCCGATCCCCTCTGATGAGGAACAGCTGCCTCCTCCACTGAACCAAGGACAAGGAGAGAGAAGCGTAGGCAAGCCCAGAGAAGGAAAAAACAGCAAGCCCTAAAAGACTGAAAAAAAATAGGGCAGCATGATGTGCCTAGAGTTACGAAACGCACATCATGCTGCCCTATTTTTCTGCATCTTTCCCATGTTCTCCACTTACCCGAACTACAGGTATAGATGCTGGTTTTGCTTTATCAAAAGGATCTGATTCTGCAAACACAGGCGATGTTTTTCTCCCTGTGAGAAAGACAAAATTAGGGGAAAGTAGGCTTTCTGAAAAGATCCTTAATGACATCCAGAAAGGAGGAGGAGGAGGAAGGAGGAAGGAGGAGGAGGAGGAAGGAGGAGGAGGAGGAGGAGGAAGGAGGAGGAGGAAGGAGGAAGAAGGAGGAGGAGGTGGAGGAGAGCAAGAACAGGAAGAAGAGGAGGAGGAGGAGGAAGGAGGAAGGAGGAGGAGGAGGAGGAAGGAGGAGGAGGAAGAAGAAGGAGGAGGAGGAAGAAGGAGGAGGAGGAGAAGGAGGAGGAAGGAGGAAGAAGGAGGAGGAGGAGGAGGAAGAAGG